CCCGCTGGTTTTTTTTTTTTCCGTGGGGGAGGGCACCACCGATCGCGGCCGGAGGGAAAAGTGAACTCCACCCTCCCGCCTGCTCCCCGCGCCGCTGACCGCCGGCCAGGCCGAGCTCCCCCAGCGCCGCCCCGCCGCCCTCCCGCGTCGGCCTGTGGATTAGGTGGGCTTGCAGCGTCGCCTTGTTACGGATCAGGACCCTTCCTTGGTTTTTGTATGAACCTCTCGAGCCCCACTGAGAGCGTCCGAGGGTGGCGCCGGTCGGGTCGGTGATATTTGACGAATATTTGCACGGGCTGGTTGGGTGACCCTTCACTGAGTTACTGGGGGGTGTCTTCCACTTGTACTGCTTCGCCACTTTTAGGATTTTTTAAATGATCATTTTTGCTATTTCCCTGGAGAAACTTTTAAGATTCTCACTGCGAGAAGCTGGGTGTGATTGAGAACGTTCTCTGAACGTGGTGTGGTCATTGAGGAAAAAAAAAGAAAGAAATTGCCTTTCGATTCATGGGTTAGGTATGGGATGTAGCAGAACAGGCTCCCGGAGCCGAGCTGCCCTGTGACTCAAGACATTTCTTTTCATGCCTGTCCGTGGTGGTTACAGGCCCTCGAGGAAGACAAGACTTGTCTTATGCACTTTTTTTCTCCCATAGAAACAAGAATCTCAGTGTAATCCGAGCAAAATTGTGTGTCTCAGCGTTGCTCGAGTAGTTGGGCGTTAACAAGGAAGCTCCAGGAATTACTACCAGTTTCATCAAACTCAGAATGCAACTGGTCCATTTTTTGAGTCTTGTAAAGTCGAAGGAAGAGTTCTGGCATCACTGTTCCTTTTGATTAATAGTCCCCAAACTTGTCATTAGGACTGATGGTGCTTTTATGCCTCTCAGTGAATTTGTGAATTCTCAGCTTTTTTCGGTCATTGTAAGTTAGACGTTTGAAATTGTTTCTCTAACTAATTCAGATGCAGGAAGGACAGTTAGACAACTTATTTATTAAAGATGCTGGCCTGTCGGATTTGTCAGACTCACAAATGTGAGGGATTATTAACACTTCATGGTTCTATGTAAATAACTAAAAATTGTAAGTTTCACCTACTTAGGAATATGTGTGGTACTTGTTTTTTTTTTTAACCTTTTAAAAGGCAGCTTTACTTTGATGTGGGGGAAAATGTCTAATTAGCTGGTTTAACAGTGAAGTCGTTTAAATGAACTTTTGATCCTTTTGCATAATGAATTAGCTAAACACGTCACTTTGTCTTAGGAACATTTTAAATTATCTGAATTTCCTTTAAAAATTAAAAATGCTGAATCAATAATGCTTAGAATATGAAGTAATACTAGTTTTTTAAAAAATCAAGTTGCTGATAATTCAATATCTAACCACACACAGTATGTAATATTCTTACTTTAAAATAACTAACACACAAGCACAACGGATATATTTAGTGTATTTAATAGTACTTATAGATTATGGACCTCTACTGTTTGTATTGGCTTGTTTGGTCAAATACTTGTTGAATGCCTACTACGGGATCTGGATCCTTCCTTTAAATCCCCACCTCACCACTTACGGGGAAAACCTGAAGGTATAGCTCATCGCCCCCAAGAGAGGTGCCCCTAGGGGACATTGTGAGGATTAAACAAGATGCTGGATGTTAAGTGCCTCACAGGTGCCTGGCCCCTGCTGAGTAAGTGCCAGCTGCCAGTATCATTATTTCTGTTTCTGTTACTCTGAGGCACTGCTAGGCTCTGTGAAGGGAGTGTGAGGCATGAAACACAGTTCCTGACCTATTTAGTCAGTTTTTTGATACTATATTTGACACTGATGTTGACTAGGGCTAAGCCATATTAGAAGTGAAATGTACCTTTACAAAAAAAAATTTAAGCTGTATTACTTTATTTAGGGGATGGTATGTAGCAAACAGTACTTCAGTGAAAAATCTAGATACATAATTTTCCATGCCAAAAATATTTTTCTGCTTTCCCTCGAATAAGATATATTCCTGGTGACATAGTTGGAATGTTCTTTATTCAAAAATTGTTAATGCTGTAAGTGTGGGTCTAAATTTTGTGGGGTGGAGAAGTCAATGTTGTGGATTTTCAGGCAATTAAGGGCACTTTAAGCAGTGAAGGCAAACTGAGGTTCTACAAATTGCAAGCTTCCTTATTTCAAAAATATTCTTAGAATTATGGTTAAAAGCTATGTCATAACCATATTATAACTACGATCATTCAGCCTATATTCTTCTAATGCATTATTTGCTATATAGCAAATCATTTGGCATTGAGTATAAAATATGAGATAAAATTTGATACTTTTTTATTCTGTTAATCTTTCTGTTGATTCTAATTCTGTTAGTCCTTCCTGAACACACGGACTGTCGCTTTTGTTTGGGAAACCTCTGCCCCAAGATTTTTCTCTCAGTTTAACTTAGGTAAAACAGCATCTCACATATAAACAATCATTATTAATAGTGTTATTTTGGCTTTGGTTGACTAGAAGCCTCCCTCATTTCACTCCAGATTGGGCTAGTGGTCTCTCTAGCCCTGTGTCTAATTTACACGTTGCTCTCCAGGAATTTTTTTGGTTGAGCATGATAAATGCCTTCCATGATGTCATCTTTATAGGAATGTGCACCAGTTACTCTCCACTTCCCGTTGAACAATCAGTGATGGTACGATCCATAAATGTTTAAGCACCTCATGAATTATCTGTATATTTTTGTCTGGAGGCATGGAGTTCCCTATTTTTGACCCGTTGTAAAGGTGTTTGAATTCTGCACTGGCTTCCAAATTTAGGTTTAGTGTTTGACTCTGATCTTGGTTGGTAAAATTATACATAATGCTTTTTTTTTTTTTTTTGTAATTTTAAATGATAATCCCAGTAAAAGTTTGGAGTGGGTTCAGTGGAGGACTATCAGGAATGCAGTTTTAGAAACCTTAAAGCCACCTTTTATAATGTTCTATCTTTTGCGTTAGTCATCTAGTGTATTAGTGCTTCCTACTTTTTCACCTCTGTATCACCAGGTAGCTCTATCTTATAATTTTACTCTTCCTAGAAAGGAGGTGTTGTATCAGGAATCCTGCTACTGAGGCAGTTACCACAGTCATCAGAAGGAATATTTTTCCTCCAACATCTTTTTTTTTTTTTGTGAGGAGATCAGCCCTGTGCTAACATCTGCCAATCCTCCTCTTTTTGCTGAGGAAGACTGGCCCTGGGCTAACATCCATGCCCATCTTCCTCCACTTTATATGGGACGCCGCCACAGCATGGCCTGACAAACGATGCGTTGGTGTGTGCCCGGGATCCGAACTGGCGAACCCTGGGCCGCCGCAGCGGAACACGCGCACCCAACCGGTTGCGCCGCCGGGCCCGCCCCTCCTCCAACATCTTAATATGAAAAATTTCAAACATACAGAAAGTTGAAAGAATTGTGCAGTGAATACCCATATACCCACCACTTAGATTCTGTAGTCAGCATTTTGCTCTATTTGCTTTATCACATATCTTCCCATTATTGGGGAACATTTTAAGAGGATTTAATAGAGGAGTTGATTTTGAAGGAGAATGGGGGTGATATGCAGTTAGATATAAATTCCTGTTTCTGAACTCTTTATCTTTAGCTGACCCAAATATCAACTACCCCAGGGTTAGGCTTGGTTCTAGAAGGGCCATCTAGAGTGATGGCTGCTTCAGATTAGAACTCTATTATAGATAGCATCTTCAGCTTTGAGTATTCTAGAAACTACACAGAATCTGAATGTTTTGAAGCCTCCAGTGGTGATAATGGCTGGCATTCTCTGTAAGTTGGTTGTGATGTCCCCTGTTAGTGGCAGAACATCAGAATTTCAGATTGGGTTTTGTGCTTTTGTAGCATTAAATTGCTCTGTTAGTTCATACATTTTCTGAAGGTATTCTCTGCATAGTTATGCATTTACTGAAGGCCCACTGTTACGTCTCCAAATCCCATTTCTCAGTGTGAATTGAGGACTTTCATTCAGAGTCGTTCATTTATGCAATAAGTATGAATATATATTTGATACTTGTAATCCGTATTTTACTACATTCTATTAATTTGTCCTTAAGAACTAGGTACTTTTATTTATTTATTTATTTTGCTGAGGAAGATTCGCCCTGAGCTAACATCTATGCCAGTCTTCCTCTATTTTGTGTGTGGGTCGCTGCCATAGCATGGCTGCCAGTGAGTGGTGTAGGTCCGTGCCTAGGAAGAGAACCCAGGCTGCTGAAGCAGAGCATGCCAAACTTAACCAGTACGCCATGTGGCCAGCCCCAATGTCTAGGTACTTTTATACAGCAATGTAGGCTCCTTATTTTGGTTTACAATAGTCATGGGAGAAATCAAGTTTTTCTGTCCTACAAGATCAGTTTATTTTTTTTAAAAAAGGGCAATGCAGAAGAGTCTTCTTTTTGAGCTTCCTAGATCCCTTGCTTTTTTAACATGAGAAAATTGCCAGTGTTTCCAGACAGATTGATCATATGTGCTTTTAAGTTTTGGTTTATAGATTTCAGGAAGTAACACGGAAGTTTACCAAAAAATTTTTAAGTGAAAAGTTTCCTTTAAGTTCTCCTAATGGAAAAATTAAGGATATAATAGGAACATAAATTATTGGCTTTAGTCTTGGTTATTTCTACAAGGTAGAGCAGGAGAAGCACAGGTAGGTTAAAAAAAAAATGCTCACGCGAGTGTTCTTCCTGTAGACTCATGTTCATTTTCTAGAGTTACAGCATCTTACAAAGATTAAAAAGGGGTTAAACTGAGCAGTTAAATATATAAAATTGGAAATTCCAAGGCAAAGAGTAACTTCTAGAAGTTCTGCCCGGCATCAGTTAGAGCTGTGACCAAATACGGCTTCCATTCTTCATGTGGGGAAAAGCTGTGACTTTGCCTAGAGCCGATGTTGATTTTGGCCTCTAGTGTTTATTTGTGGAGTATATTTAAAATAAGTGGGGAGATATACTAATGGGAGGTAAGTAACCGTTTTCTTTTTCTTTTTATCTGTTTTAAAAAATTAAGTAAATATTTGAGTTAAAGGTTGGACATGTACTTATTTAAAAAGTCAGAATTTTAAAATTTAATTTCTTACAGAACACAGGTTTATAGCAAATAATGATTGGTAATAAAATTTCAGTCAATATCAGGTTATGCCAGTACCTTGAATTCCTTTACAGTTAAGCCTTTCAAAAGATAAAGACGAAGTTTCAGGAAAAGAAATTTTAGAGCATTTAAAACACAGTTGGCGGGGGGTGGGCACAAGGGGAGAAGGGATGCATTTATATGGTGACTGACAAACAATAATGTACAACAAAAATTTCACAGTTAAAAAAATCTTCACCCGAACTTCAACAGAGTCCCTAACCCAGGTCTCCACACCTCCATGGCTTTCTATCCAACCTAGTATTATGATCTCTCTGAAACTCAGTTTCCTTATCTGTAAAATGAGAATAAAGATAGTATTTACTTTAAAAAACACACACATGGTTGTATTTATAGTAGTGGGTTTGTTCCTCATACATATTGAAGGGACTTAGGACAGGATCTTAAAGGAAGTGCTACTGTGACATTTTAACGTAACAGTTAAAACCTTTATGTAGCTGCTTATTCTTGACATTAAGAGGCAATAACTGTTAACATTTTTACACAACAACGTTTGTAATTTTGAAAAGAGGTTCACTATTCATTGCCTTCGACTCCACTCTCTTCCTCAGCTACCACATCCAGTGCAGGGCCCGCCATGCTTGTTCTGCCTCACATCCAGGTAGCTCTTGAAATGATCCCCTTCTCTTCACCCTGAAACCGCCTCCTTGGTGCACACCATCGTGGTGGTTCCTGGAACACAGCAGTGGCTGCTCCCTTGATTTCCTGCCTCCAAGCTTCCTCAGTCCTCTTTCCATACTGCAGTCAGAGACTTCTCAAAATGCAAATCCATTGGTTTCTTGGCAACTCACAACCTTCTGTGACTTCCCAAGGAGGATCAAATCCCATGTCCTTAACAAGACAGAGGACACCTTCAGGTTTTATTCTCCCACTTCCCCCGTATTTCTTTGTTCTTCAGTTATACTGGGCTTCTTTTAGTCTGGACCTCCCCCTATGCTGTTGCTTTTGCCTAGAATGTTCTTCCCTATCTGTGTCCCCACTCCTCCTAAGTCTCAGCATATATTGCAGCCTCCTGTACCTGCCCCAAGACTAGGTTAGATCCTTTTGCTGTACATTTCCAGAGTATTTAATAACACTATCACACCTATAATTTTATGTAATGACTACATTCTTCATTTTTTAGTTCAATAACTGCATAAATCCCTTGAGGTCTCATTCACTGCAATATCTTTAGCACCTAGTACACTTCCTGGCATAGCACACGATTTGTTGGTATAGATCGAATTTGAATTAATGCTCACAATAGTTTTGTGATGGAGTTGCTAGTTTTACATCCATTTTACAGTTGAGACAACTGAGGCATAAGGAAGTTGAAACTTACCAAAAATTCTAGCCAGTAAGTGGTTGAGTTGGCCAGAGGTCTCAAATCCAGGGTAATGACTCCATATCTTAGGCTCCTGCTCCTACAGGTTTATTTTGACATTCTAAGCTTTTAACAAAATGTCCGGCCAGTGAGTCATTTTTGTTTAGAAAGCCTTTAGGAGTTGGAAGCTACCTCCTGATGATGTAATGTTTGACTCTGTGAGGTCTTTGGGGTGGGGAGTTCCAACTTTTGTTAAGCCCTTAATAATGTTATGAGGGAAACAAGTATTGGCAAGACTGGGTGGGCGTGTAATCTGTCCTTGTTTAGGCTTTGGCCTTAAGCTCAGAGTGCAGGGAAAAAAGGAAAGCACTTAACTTCTTTATGGTGAATTCTAATTCATAGTAGTTGAGATTGAACAACAAAATCTTACAACTCAGAACTCCAGTATATCATCAGGACCTTGCTAAGCCAGCTGAGGACAGCAGGGAGATGGGCTCATGTAAGGAGAGCATCTGGTGAACCCTTGGGAGGCCAGGGACTCTGGGCTCTCAGAAGCCCCTGAAGTCGCCCTGTGAATGTTGTAAAATTTGGAGACCGTTTTTTGGCTAATGGTGCAGTGATCTTCTTAATTTTTAGGTGATATTCTCTTGAAAAAAGTTTCAAGTGGTTGGGAGACTTTCAGCCATCAATCTGACCTCTGCCTGACGGCAGACTGTACCCACTACCTGTTGTGCAGGAGCCCCTCCTGTCTCTGGAGTGTTTATTTCTACATGGTTCTCTTACTTTCTCATCTTTGCAGCTGTTTGGAAAGTTTACTCCAGCATCCCTGAGCCATGAATTAATATGTCTGGAATATATTATGATAGCCACTCTAAAAGCTTATGGTGGCGTGTGAGGATGGGGCTGGGGAGGTGGCAAATGAATACAGATGAATTCAAGTGAGAGCACCTCTGTGTGGTGGTTAGTGACTAAGCACTGTGTTACGAGAAGTCATTACCGATTGCCAGAGGGAGGGCTTTAGGAAGGTGGGGGAATTTGAGCTGCCACTCAAAAGCAGCAAAATATATTACTTATCAACAAGGTGGAAGTTGTAGAAGAAAGCTGTGTTTGCATCCTAGTATTCATCAAAATAATTTGAGGATAGAATTGAAGATTCTTGGATGAAAGATTTCTACAGACTTTCACAGAAGAGACTTTCAATTTTAAAATAGTGTTCCTCTTGAACCTTGTGCTTATTTAACAACTATTTCTTGACTATTAGGGCTCGTACCACATACCTAAACAGAAGGTGGAGGCTCCTGACTGCCTTTGTGAGAAATTCTAGTTTGTTTAAAGTTCAGAATAAAAATGTATGTGTAGCATTAAATAAAAGGTTATAGGAACTGATCGTTTCCTGTAATGCTAAGTACTTCGTGTATACTCCTTGATTTTTCTGTAAATTATTTTAACAGGATGATGAAAGCAAGGATTACATTCATGTTGACTAAGCAACTTACACTGTTTTTTCCTCTCTCTTTAGAGCTGTAGGTAAAACTTGCCTACTGATCAGTTACACAACCAATGCATTTCCTGGAGAATACATCCCCACTGTGTAAGTATCTCAAGTTCAACCGAGAATGAACTTCTGTGATGTTTTTCAGATTCCTTAGACCTTTGTTTTGCTTTATAAAGCCATTTTTAATCCTTGTATGAACAGATATGGTTAATTTTCCTCTCAAACATTCACTGAAGTCTAATCATAAGGTATTTGGGCTTTTAAAAAATGCTGAATCTAATATAAAGTTTGTGCATAGTGATGAAACACGTCACTTTCCTAACTGATTTTTAGACATTGAGGGAACAAGAAAGTTAACCAACTGTGAAGTATAGAGACTGGTTAATGTCGGAGTTTCAGATCAGTTTGGCTCTCTGGGCTCTGTGTGAAAGATCAAGGAACTGGAACATGAAATACTCCATTATGTTTTAATTGGCCTTTTCTGGCAAGTACTGTGATGGTTACACGTCACTGTTGAGGTATGGGGCTTTGGAGCTGAGGAAACCAGTGTGTGTGGGAGGGCAGACTTGGCTACTGAGCTGCTTATTCCCTGAGGGCAGCAGAATTGGGTGGAGATGGAAACGTGCTTTTCTAATGGTGGGGTTACTAGGGAGCCCGGTGTAGCCGAGCCCCATAGCGCAGCGCCCCTTGGCCATGGTGAGTGGTGAGCTCTCCCCTCATGGCTGCCATCCCGGTGGAGCCGGAACACTCCAGTCCCCCCAGGGCTTGATCCCCCAGCACAGCACACGCACTTCGGTGTTCTCTGAAGTGTCGTGAGCACATTTTAGTATCACTGGAATCGTACTGTCCATGTTGTCCTGAATTTATGGTGAGGACTTTCCTACGCGTGCAGACAGAGCTAAATCATAACAGTTGTTAATGACTGTGAAATACTATAGCTGATTTAACCCCTGGTCCTTTAGGGCCTGGGGAGGGGGGGGCATGACAAATAGTCTGTGTTAGACGTCGTTGCCCATGTCTGTGCACATGTGATGGATTATTAGAAGTGGAATTGTGCCCAGTCGAAAAGGAATGGGTGTTTTAACTTTTAATAGATACTACCCAGTTGCTGTCCAAAAGACTATCACTGTGACCAGCTGTGACCAGAATGGCCCCTTATTACGTATTGTGGTTAACATGAGTTGGAAAAAGTTACCTCATCATTTGCATTTCTGATCACCACTGAGGTTAAAATCTTTTGAATGTTTACTGTCCTTTTGTAGTCTTCTGTGAATTGCCTGTTGAAATCCTTTGCTTACTTTTCTAGTGAAAGTTTTGTTACTGATGGAACTTTTGTATATAAGAAATGGTAATCCTTCTGTCTCTCAGTTGTCTTTGAACTTTGTTATGGTGTCTTCTGCCATAAAGAAGTTTTTTTTTTTTTTAATTTAATTTATTTATTGTTTCTCCCCCAAAGCCTCAGTAGATAGTTGTATGTCATAGCTGCACATCCTTCTAGTTGCTGCATGTGGGACGCGGCCTCAGCATGGCCGGAGAAGCGGTGCGTCAGTGCGCGTCCGGGATCCGAACCCGGGCTGCCAGCAGCGGAGCACGCGCACTTAACCGCTAAGCCACAGGGCCGGCCCTGCCATAAAGAAGTTTAACATTTTTGTGTAAATATGCCACTCTTCCCCTTCCCTTAGTTTTATGTCTTACTTAGGAAGACCATTCCTACTTCAGTGATGCAAAAATATTCTCTAGTGTTTTTTCTAGGATTTTTTGGTTAAAGTTTTTATCTTTAATGCATTTAGAATTTACTTTTTGGTACAGTATGAGGCAGGCACCTGATTTTTTTTCCCACAGGAAAAAAGTCACAGTACCATTTATTGAATAATCTATCCTTTTCTCACAGAAGCAGAATTGCCACACATCAGACCTTTTCTTTATGAAAGCTAGTTTGGTCATTAAATTCTATGAACCCCATTGGAATGTTACTCTGACCTTGACTTTGCTGTCACTGTGTAATAAGACCCTAAGTTTTAGTCTTAAGAGTATGTGAAAATGAAGTCTGGAATTTTATTTGAAAGGCTGATGTATTGGGTTCTGTTTGGTACTTGCCCTGGTGTGCATTGCAAGGCCAGATTTTCTTTTTAATGAAACTACTCTAGGGTACTTGTAGTCATATTTTAATGTCAACCTTATTTTCCCTGTCAGCCCGTAGGCTTTTCTAAAGGGCTGCTACTGCTGATAGTTAACTAATTCACGTGTAGCAGCTTCAAATTAATTATATGTGTAATCTGGTACACTCACTCTGAAAACGTTACGTGATCTGATCGCTTCTCAAATCTGGTTTGTTTGTGTTTCCACTGCACTTGGGTTGCAGGCATGAGTGACCAAGACTTGACTAAGTCACCCTCCACTCAGGTGGGTGTTCTGGAAATAGTGCAGAGTGCAGCTCTTGTGGGGTGCCGCCTTGTTGAAAATGAGTCAAATGTGTACATGAAAAACTCAACAAGTGGGATTTGAAAGAGGAACTAGTTTTATACTTTATTTCTTCCATGGGAGAAAAATCTTAGTATTCTGTTTATTAAAGGTAAATGTTTTTGTGGCTGCCCGTAATTTGTTTCTGTTAAATTGAGCAGCTTGTCCAGCGTTTCTCAGGCACTGTTTCCCTTACCCTCCAGCCCCGGTTCCCCTCTACCTCTTAGCTCACAGGCTTCTCCTCATGCCCACAGGCCAGGCGTTTGCTGGCCTGCAGCCTCCCTGTGTGCTCCCAGCCTTCTCAGCACACGTTCCCTGGGACCCCGGCTAGGACAGCAACTCGGGCAATGGATCTGTGCCTTATGCTCCAAGGCTGAAGACTAACCATTTTTACCCCATTCCACAGCTTTGACAACTATTCTGCCAATGTTATGGTAGATGGAAAGCCGGTGAATCTGGGCTTATGGGATACAGCTGGACAAGAAGATTATGACAGATTACGTCCCCTCTCCTACCCGCAAACAGTAAGGATCGTGACTGATTTTTAACCTGTCCTTTAGAATATACAATTCCGGGATATTTAATTAATTGCATATCACCTATGGATTTGCTTATATTGCCATCTTTTGGGTATATCAAGTAATAGCAATTAAAGTTCAATTAGTTCAGTAGTGAATGTCCCCCTAGATGCAAACCAGGGTTTGTTGGTTTGTTTGTCTTTATTTTTGAGCATTACCAGTTATTGAATACTACGCTGTGCATTTCACATTCTTTCATTTAGTTTTAGGACAACCGTATGAAGCAGATACTATTATGTTTTTGAAACCAGTTTTAATAGCAATTAGTTTCAAGATTAGTTTGCTTTGTGCCAGTTCTGTACCATAGAATCAAATTAAGCAGTTACGAGTAGGTTTCTTTAAATCCAGTTAGTAACTAATCTTATGGGTTTAATGCTATTTTTCTATAAAATACCTGTTCATTTTCTATCGTGTTAGTACCTAAATCTTCTCAGTGTTGGTTGAGGTTTCAGTTTTGTAAAAATGTGTCCACTGTGTCCAGTCAGAAAAATTTTTAGATTAGTTTTGTTCCTATATCAGACAACGAAATGCTCTACTTACCAAAGCAGTAGTTGGTGAAAACATAATCAGAAGCCACTTTTCTTTAATAAGCAATTGTTTTACTTGTATTATTTGCTTATCTTGTTACATGTTTGTTTTCATTTTGAAAGTGTATTTTAAAACTACTTTGAAGACTTAGGTAACTAAAGAGATAGTTGAGCAAATTCCTTGGGTTCAGATTGCGCTGTCCATCTTCCTAGCAATTTTCTTCATCTCTGGTCTTCACCTCTTTCCTTGTAGGATTAGATGAGTTAATAACCATCAAGCAGAAAAAGCACAAAACCAGTCCTGGCATGGCGCAGACACTCCAGGGTAGCTGCTCTTAGGATTTCTCCTCGTTCTTCTGTGGATGTACTGGTAGATCCAGAGAGCTCCTCAGTTCAGAGCTGAGCCCACATGAGTGCAAGTTGCTATACGAGCTCTCAGCAAGCTGGGATGGCCAGAGAGGCCAGAGTCAGGACAGGAGACGTCCAGAGAAGGCGGCTTTGACCCTTTGATTGACTGAATCATCACTTTGTCTTGGGGGTTAGTGTGGGTGAAAATAACTAATTAGTTCCAGTCTACCCAGTTCTTTTTTTTTTTTTTTCTAATGAACTTCCTTTTAGTTAATGATAGTTTTAAACTTTTGAATACAGCCTTTTCCATGCAACAGTCGTTGTCTTTTCTATTTGTTTCCTGCTGGAGAAATTGCCAGATACCGTTTCTCTGAGCTGTAGATTTTTGCTGATTGTCCTTGGGTGGTTTCTCAGTTAATCTCTAGCTAAAAATGAACTGTGATTAAGTATTAAAAATCTGCTATGGGGCCCTGCCAGTGGCATATTGGTTAAGTGCGCACCCTCCGCTGCGGCGGCCCAGGGTTCGCAGGTTTGGATCCCTGGCACGCACTGACGCACTGCTTGTCAAGGCATGCTGTGGCAGCATCCCATATAAAGTGGAGGAAGACAGGCACGGATGTTAGCCCAGGGCCAGTCTTCCTCAGCAAAAAGAGGAGGATTGGCACGGATGTTAGCTCAGGGCTGATCTTCCTCACAAAAAAAACAAAAATCAGCTATAATCACCAAATGGTTTGAATTCTTTAGTATGTTTAGGAAACTATTATGTACCTAGTTGGTGCTAGTAATTCCAGATTTTAAATGGATTTGCCAACATATTGGCTTGGTAGAGTAGGAGTCTCCAACCCACTGGATACATCTGGAAGGGTGGGGTGTCACTTCTGAGAAATGAGAACCACCTCCTATGACTCAGGGGACCCAGGGCGGGGCTCGGCCTTTTTCTCTGAGGGAGTCACTCACAGTAAGTCACAGATGACTTGGCGAGATTCCCACTTTGTGTGCTAAAGGACGCATAGATAAGTAGCAGTTTGAATCAAGCTGTAGTGTGCGAGGCTTGCAACCCAACTCTTTATGTCCCTTCTGTGTAAGGCGGTAGACTGTTTTCCTATCAGATGCTTGAACCACAAAAAGGGAGTAAGGCGTGGTTCTTGCCCTCAGGTAGCTCACAGGACTCTGTAACACACTGTGCCAGCATAGAGGGTGTGAGTGGGTGGTCAGGAGCAGAGGGAGAGCACCCAGCCAGCGGTTAAAGACATGCCTACCTGGACTCCTTTGGAGTTGAGGGAAGTGATCTCGGCTACTGAGGGGCAGGCCCCCAATGCTGAGATACTGGAGCCTGAAAGGTCTCCTTCCTTTGAGCCATGCTGTCCTACCAAGAGGAGCAGGCCTTGGAAGTTACAGGCTGGCACCTTGGTTCCTTGTTGACAAAGGGGAAACCACTAAACTGTGTACTAAATGGAACATGGCCTCCAGTTGTTGGCTCTGTGGTCTGCAGGCCTGTGTATGTGGCTCATCCCTGACTGTGCTCAGACCCACTCCCGAAGGGCCAGTTGGACAATTTCTTATCCAGATCTCACCCCTTTTTAGGTCTTTGTGACCTGAAAAGAGATGTTATGTTTCCTATAGTCATTTAATGCTGCCACTCTTCTCTCTTGGGTAGCTCTGTGTCACTAAGTTAAATCTGTTTAAACCATTAGTTTCTAATTCATTCTCCAAAAGATGGTTAGCAGGTATTCATCATTTTCAGTATAAATTGCCCTTCAAGTTTTTATTTTTCTAAATTAGGTAATCCTTAGGGCTTTTCTATTCTTTAGTAAATTATCTTTCTGTTCTCTTTTAAAAATGTTTGCTAAGTCCTGCATATTCATCTTCAGTGGGGGCGTGCTCAGAATCAAGGTGTATTCAGCAAAGTGGTCATGCCCAATGTCTAGCATTGTGTCCAGTTACCTGTGTTTGCCTACATGTTCCAAGATTTAGTGGTGTGAGTGGGAACATATGTGACTTGCGAAAGTCATAACAAGGCCTGAGTCCTGTGTGTTCCGAGAGAACCATGCTGCCCAGCCTCTTTGTGGCGAACCTGGGCCTGTCTGTGTTCAGGTCAGCCAGGACCCCAGTGTGTCATGCCAGTATTTTCATTTTCTGCGTGTGCTCTGACTTGAGAAGGGTTTTTAAGTACTGAACGAGACCACTGTGACATTAGATAGGAAGGAAACCACAGTGGTTAGCTTGGCTATTTTGATTTTCAAAAGGCTTCGAGTTTTGTTAGGTTGACTAACCTACAGCGCCAGTGTCCTTCAGCCAAAAATCGCTGGGAACACACCTGTGGTTAAACAGAATTGGGTTTGTTACTTGTTACTTTGCCACCAGGGAGACACACCCTGGGGGACTGTGGAGTGTGATTTGGTCTTGTGTTGGTGATTTGGGCGAGGCCTCCGGAAGTGGGGCTTTGCTCTGGACTGGATGCTGGCGGGAAGCAGGGTAGTTCTATGGGTGTTTTGATAACTCTTACCTAGAAGTTGGGGAGGAAGGGAGGCTAAAGCTGTGATGGGTACAGAAGCAGTCACACACTCGCATTGGCTGGGCGAGAGGGATGTTTGGTGATTTTGCAGTTTGCACAGTGACTTATATTTGTTTATACTTAAGATTGTGAAGTGGTCTTCTATTTAGTTCTTTACTTTTGGTCTCATTTTAGTGACCTTGTCTGGTGTTGGTGTTCTGGGAGATTGTTCCATTCAGCAGGAACACGCCATGGCTGAGTTGTGAGCGCCAGGCAGCTCCCAGGTGGCAGGGGGATTTTCTCTTTTTCCTCAGCTGGTTTTTGTAGCAGCTCCATTTTGATGACACATGTGCAGCTGCTTTTCTCTGCCATGTTTGTGTATCCTGGTCCTTTTCCCAGTGCTTAGAATGCCTGTATTAAAAAATATTCAAGGGCCAGCCCTGGTGGCTTGGTGGTTAAGTTTGGCGTGCTCCGCTTCAGCGGCCTGGGTTCAGTTCCTGGGTGCAGACCTACACCACTCGTCTGTTGGTGGCCATGCTGTGGTGGTGGCTCACATACAAAATAGAGGAAGACTGGCAACAGATGTTACCTCAAGGTGAATCTTCCTTAGGGGGAAAAGAAAATTCAACCCTGAAAGTAAAAACCAGGTGGAAAGCACTGGAAGAGCATAAAACAAAAGAAGGAGAAAGGATAGTGCTTTTGGGAGTAGTAGATTCCGGCCATGCAGATGTCTGCCCAGTCTCATTCAGCTAAAAGCAGACTCGTCTTTTTGTGGGTTGTCCCGTTGACAGATGAGGGGCAGGGGGCAGCAGTAAGAACTGCTCTGGCTGGACATCTGATCCAGAGGGAAAACTGGTTTGTGATACAGGAGTAATAAAGTCATCGAAGGCACGATGCGAGTCTGGTGTATCTTAGTCTGCCGATCTAAGGAAAGTAGCGTTCAAGTCCAGAGGAGGAAAGATGGGCCTGTGACCCATTCCAGCTCAGGAAAGGATGAGTATGGCCACGCCACAGGTGGCCATACTGAGGTGCTCTGAGTGTGACAAGGACAGGCATAAAAATAGAGATCCCCAGCCAAGATTGAGCACCTCCGTCTGGGACATCAGGTGGGAAAGCAGAGTTCGGAATGAACTGATGCCAGAAGATCAGTGTCAGAAGCACTAGAATGTTTTCTTCAAGCTATATTTAGGCTGGGGGAACAAAAAGGAAGGAGGAAGGAACAGGCAGATGGCGTAATGTTAACGTGGGATGGAAAGCATGTTTCTTCATCAAAAAAGATGTTGAAAATTGAAGAGGGTTGAACAGGTATGGTTAGAGGATGTTTTGAAGCGGCATTTTTGTGGCTGATCCCCATGAGTCCCTGGATCACAATAAAGATTTGGCATCACGTCAAGGCCTGGGAGGACAGATCTTCGAAAAGAGCCCGTAGATTAAACCAGAATAGTGATGGAAACTTGAATATTCTCTTTGACTTGTAAATGAGAGAAGCTTGAGTGAGATGAAATTAAAATGATTCTCTTGTCCGTCTCTTAAAAGAATTGCAGGGTTCTGTGCTGATTTCTAGGGTTCTGTGTTGCTGGAAGAGCAAGTCTTTCAATTTTTATTGCAACAGAGGAGTGAACTGAGCGTTGTGATAAACACTGGACGTGCTGTCACTCTGGACAGCCTCATCCAGATCTGCAGGGGCGGGGAGTTGGAGGTCTCAGTGCAGCAGCCCTGTTCATTTCGGTAATGGGGTCCCTGAATTCAAACCACACTCCCAGAACTTGGGGGAAGAGAGGCCCAGCTTTTCTGCACAGCACACTTGTGTTCACAGCTCTCACACCTGGCGGCATTCCTGTGAGCCTTCCATCTGAGAGGACTGTTTTACACACAGGTGCTTTATCCTGTTGGCCGCGGCCTCAGCTGGCCTTGTGTCCGAGAACTGGGATGGAGATCTTTGAGAAGTGTGCCTGTCACTAAGGGATGCCGGTGATAGCACACATGCGTGCCTTTGTTAAGGGAAGGACCCTTCTGAGCGTAAGCTGTGCGCTTCACGGGCATGTCGTACATTCTGCTGGAATGGACCCTCTACGTGTGCTGCCATGGGCAGAAGGAGCACCTGTCTCCTCCCCAGTATTTGCCTGACCTCTGTCTTCGCCGTCTTGACCTTCAGAGGGTGCCTGCCTTTGGCCAGCTTGATGGAGTGTTTCGGTGGCATTTGGCATCTTAGACCTGTTAGATCATCGTCTGTGTTTAGATCCCTTGGGAGGGTTGAGAGAAAATTCTATGGAGAATAAATAACGGGTTATATTGATTTTTATTTTCCTCAGTTTTTACTAAACTCAAACACAGTTCTCATGCATTACTAGGTTGGAGAAACGTATGGTAAGGATATAACCTCCAGGGGCAAAGACAAGCCGATTGCCGTATGTAAAACTTTCAATCGACTTCAGTTTCAAGCTTTATCTATTCTCTCGTTTCACTTAGTTTTCCTAGGATTTCCTATGGAGCCTCACGTTCCTTGAGTGTTTTGTATTTAATTCACTCAAGATCAGGGTTTTGCTTGATGAAATATGCTTTCACGAGAGCGTGACAGTTTACCTACTATCTTGAATGAAAGCAGGTCCTGAACTGCTTTCTCCCTCCTCCTAAGTGAAAGGAGGGCCTTTTATGAAAGGACTTCTCTCCAGGCTGGTTGGGGATGGAAATACCGAGGCTCCACCTCGAAGCTCACCGCATACCGTGGGCTTGAGCGGAGCGGGACTAACTGTGGCTGCCAGGGCCTTCTCTCCGCTTTGGTGTCCCGGTGCTTTGGTGTCCAGTGCACTGGGCCTGTCTGGGGCACGGCTGTGCGGTGCTGGTGAGCTAACCCCACCCTGCTTTGAAATGTTGTAATCAGCTCAGGTGCCAAAATGCCGTGGTGATTCTTGGACAAGCTTGTGCATGCGCTAGCATTTTTCAAATGTCATTTATAAAAAGCTGTTGTGTGGGATGTTTCTTTCCCTTTCAGGTACAAGATTATCAGCTGGATGATTGAAAGTGTTAGCTTGGGAATTGTGTGCATTTCACAAAGTAGCATAATTGCGTTTTTCCAGGAAACTGTTTTATAAACCTAGCTTTAGAAACTCTTGGGCATTTTTTAATACAAATATATATTTAAGTTTGACTTTTTACACAATACAGAACAGGAGGAGAAACCCAAATATCTTACATTTAGCCAGAAATTTCGTTCAGGTAATTGTTCTGCACTACTTTTCCATTGAACCTTACTTTAGCCACGGCTGCCCTGGGTGCAAGTTCTCCAGAGGCCCTGCTTGGATTTGAGAAGCTCTGACAGCTGAGGAGATGCCACCTAACACACCAGAGCATCCTCCATCAGGGAGGAACGTGCTCATGTAGCAAATACTTGAACCTCCACTTTTTGCCAGTGGCTCTGATGGCAGTTGTTAAAGAGGCACGTTGTACTCAACGTGCGGATGGGGAGCTTGATGAAAAGCATGCTGTTTGTAGATAATGTTTTTAAACTTGACTCTGCTTTTGTGAAACTGAGACCAAATTTTATAGACATTGGAGTAGGACCTTGACCCTTGATTTTGTCTCTGTGTAACGGGTCATTAGATTCCCAGTGGGGGCTGGCAGTGATGGCAGAGAGGCCTCCGGGGGTCTGATTTGACCAAGCCTCCGTGGCCTCAAGGAACTTCTAGCGTATTTTGCCCTCCACTCCCCTCTTCTCACAAGTTGTTTCACGTGCTGGTTCTGGTTTGGGAGGCGTCCGAGGAAACTGAAGGGGTGTGTCCAGGGTGCAAGCTTGCAGCACAGGCTGCTGGGGCACAGCATACGCACCTCGTACGATGAGTCGGTCCCAGCAGCATGTGTTTATTTGTTTCCATTTCTTTTCTTTTGTTATTGAAGTATAGATACCCAGCAGCATTTAGAAACCAAAGTGCATTCATCATTATAAGACTCTTTTCTAAATGTCTCCTTGTGTTTCCTTTTTATAGGATGTGTTCTTAATTTGCTTTTCTCTTGTAAGTCCTGCATCATTTGAAAATGTCCGTGCAAAGGTAAGTGAGGATTTTTAGAAAAATATTTTGTTACATAATGTCACTCTCAGGAAGAAACATTAAAATACCATTTACAGATAGAAATGTTCTTGGTTTTAGTAATTCTATTTAGATCATCAGATTTTTAAGTATGTGACTTTGTAGAATTCTAAAGTTGTAGGGTCTGGTTCGGAAGTGCTGAGTATTCCTTGTTAAAATCATGCACTTGGGAGTTGGCCTAATAAAAATAATGACCCTTACTTACTTTTTTTTTTTTTTTTTTTGTGAGGAAGATCAGTCCTGTGCTAACATCTGCCAATCCTCTTTTTTTGCTGAGGAAGACTGGCCCCGGGCTAACATCCGTGTCCATCTTCCCCCACTTTATATGGGACGCCGCCACAGCATGGCTTGCCAAGCAGTGTGTTCGTGCGCGCCCGGGATCCGAACCAGTGAACCCTGGGCCGCTGAAGTGGAGTGTGTGCACTTAACCGCTTGCGCCATCGGGCCGACCCCTGACCATTACTTTCTACTCCTGCATCTTTCACAGATTTCTTAGTGTAAATGCCACATGCAAGATGCCCTCCAGTTGTAGTGATCAGGGATGTGTTCAGTGGGGTAATGGTGGCAGAGCTGAGACCTTGGTCCCGAGAGTTCACGTATTCTCATCCCTGAATACATGAAGGATTTTCTGAGATAACCTAAGAACTTGTTTTACCAAACAAGTGGTATTTTGTGGGGGACCTTTCCTTTCTCTTCCCCTCTCACTCTTACTGACAAGTAGAGCCTGTTCTGTAGGGTTAATCTTGAGAGTCCTGGTTTGCTAATCAAACACCCACAGGTAGTCCTGTGGTTCTAGAAGGTGTAAATGGAAGGTGTGAGCAAGGCTGGAGCGCATGAAGGCTCTGTAGGGACCCAATGACTCAGGTGGGGTGGTGACACAGTTTGGCACCCGTGTGGATATAATTTAGGTGAAGGAAGTTCAAAAAGGAGAGTGTCATCATAACTTTATTCCTTTCTTCACATCTAGTGGTATCCTGAAGTGCGACACCATTGTCCCAACACTCCCATCATCCTGGTGGGGACTAAACTTGATCTTAGGGATGATAAAGACACGATTGAGAAACTGAAGGAGAAGAAGCTGACTCCCATCACCTACCCACAGGGTTTAGCCATGGCTAAGGAGATTGGTATGAAATCCTGCCTTTGTCATGTCTGCTTTGCACACGTTTTTATTTTGTGACACAGACTGGAGTCTAGTCTGGGGAAGTAGAGTGTGTTCCTCCAATTTGGGGACCAGCAGAGCAGGGCCTTCAGGTCAGAGTTGGGAAGGCGGAGGCAGGGGTAGGAGTTGCTCTGCTGTGCCCAGTGGGCTGGCAGAGGGGGCAGGGCGGGGGAGCTGCCTCTCGCTCTTGTTCTGGTCGGAAGAGAGTAGGTTCGTGCTCTGAGAGGCTGTGTTTCTTGGCAGGTGCTGTAAAATACCTGGAGTGCTCGGCTCTCACACAGCGAGGCCTCAAGACAGTGTTTGATGAAGCTATCCGAGCCGTTCTCTGCCCACCTCCCGTCAAGAAGAGGAAGAGAAAATGCCTGCTGCTGTAAACGTCTGGGCCCCTCTCCCGCCCTGTCCCCACCCCTGAACCTTTGTACGCTTTGCTCAAAAAAACGGTGGAGCCTTTGCACTCAATGCCAAGTTTTTGTTACAGATTAGTTTTTCCATAAAACCATTTTGAACCAATCAGTAATTTTTAGGTTTTGTTTGTTTCAAGTGTAAGAGTTCAAACTTGCACATTCTATTAAAATTTAGCCCTAAAATGACAAGCTTTCTTAAAGCCTTATTTTTCAAAAGCCCCTATTCTTGCTCAGATTAAGAGTTGCCAAAATACCTTGTGAAAGTTGCATTGTTGTGCTGAGAACACTAAGCACTAAACTGTTTGAAGACCTTCGTCTTGAAGGAGACTGTAGCTTATGAAGTTAGGAAAGCAGACCCTTTCTAACTAGTTTCAGATGGGAGACAAAGGTCAGCCTCCTCCCTGAAATGTTGCCATTTAAATGCGTCGGTAATTTATCAACCCATGTTCCTTACCTAACATTGTACTGTATCATAACGGAATGAGGGTAACAACTCAACTCTTTGGATCAATCTTTTTGATTTCGTAGTGAGATTTAAAAAAAAAAATTAGTATGTTAGCTTTGCTGAGATTTTGAACAGAACTCTGACTCCCGTGCTCCCTCATGAAGTGTTCTGCTCTAGCCGTGGGTGCACTGGGGTGGTGTGTGTGGAACACTTGATGTGATCAAAGGATGAAGACAGTATTTTGACAAAATAACGAAGTGGAGGTTAATTTACACTACATTGTACACGTAATTAAACTGAATAAAAGTGTCACGGGTAAAAATTTTAAAAGGTTAATTTCTGTCAAATGCAGTAGATGATGAAGAAAGGTCGGTATTATCAGTAAGTGTTTTCTGAAGCTTTTCCTTTTTCTTAAACCTGCCATCCCTCCTGAAATCGGGCATTTAATTCAACTTTGAAGTGGTCATTCCCATAGTTGCTTAGTTAAGTGCTTTTCTTATTGAACCCCTTCTTAATGAGCAATATTCCTCCTTGTATTATAAAATCTTTCTGATAATGCATTAGAAACTTTTTTTGTAGATTAGTAAAAGTGCATTCCTGTTTTCATTTTACTTTATTCAAAGCTAATAAATGCTTTCCTTAGTTTTCTAGTAACTAGGTGTAAAAATCATGTGTTGCAGCTTTACAGTTTTTAAAATATTTTAGATATTCTTAAACTATGAACCTTCTTAACATCACTGTCTTGCCAGAGCACCAACACTGTACCTTGACTCATACTGACCCTCCTCTTCGCCTCACCCACATGGACGCGCGCTTCCTGGTGTTGCTCTGCCTAACAATGTTCCTTTGGGTCTGTGAGGTTCTGTAAACCCCATGCTCGTGCTAACGAAGTTCTGTACAACTTACCCACTGGCAAGAATACAAGGTGGGACCTCTCAACCACTAGAACAAAATTTTTTAAATTGACAGTCGCAGAATTGTGAAGTGTTTTTACATTGATCTTTTGCTAATGCAATTAGCAGTATGTTTTGCATGTATGACTTAATAAATCCTTGAATCATATGACTGGTAATACTTGAATTCTTGAGACCTTGGTGAACAACTTCCTGGTTCCTGGGTTGTTGGAGACAGTCATTTTCAATGGATGTTTTCATGCTGGGGGATACAAGGAGCAGCCCCTCCAGGGAGAGAATCTGGATAAATCAGCATATAATGGGGGGGTAGTGATGTTTGGTTTGGGACCTGTTGAATGTTGGTGAGAACATACGTGATGGCCACCCTGGGGGGTGTATGCACGTGGATTTTGGGCCAGAGTTCTGGGCTGAAAATGCAGATGTTGGGCCTCAAGTTGGCAGCCTGTGCAGCAGAGGCTGACTATATGACTTTCAGATCCTTTCTGGAGCCTGAAATTATACTATAAACAGTTCGTGTTAGAATCAGTTTTCTAAATATTCTTTTTTATTGCTTTGAAGATTACTATTTTTGAGTTGTGTTTTTTTTTTTACCAAAGATAAATATGTAGTTTAAAGACCAAATAGTTCTGAAGGTTTGCTACCAAAACAAGTCTTCCCCCTTCACACCCTCCCCAGGGGCAACTAGTTAGTTCTTGTAACTCATTTTTTACATTTGTCTCCACATATCTAAACCACATGCTTGCTTTTTTTTTTTTTACTTACTAGCTCACCGGATTGTTATAAAAGGATGTAACTCAGAACAGCCAGGTGGAAGAGAAACGCAGGGCAAGGCATGGGGAGAGGGCAGAGCTTGCGTGCGCTCTGAGTGCACCACTCGCCCAGCCCTCCTCCATTCACCAGCCCCGGGGCTCTGCGTCCCCGCCCTGTGTGTGCGTCTTTTATGGAGGCTTCATTACATTGGCATGATCGATGAAATCAATGGCCACTGGCAACCGATTCGGCCTCCAGCCCCTCGCTCCCTCTCCTCCCAGGAGTCAGGCTATACCACATGCTTTTATTGCCAGTTGGCTTTTCCAGTTTCAGCCCTTACCACTGATACTCCCATTGTGGTAGACAGGAGGGCTTTCTCCTTCCCATCTGCACCCCAGCTGCCCCCCAAGCTGCCCCCAGCTTTCCCATCCCCTCAGTCATTTTGATTGGTGCTATTGTCTGTAGTTATTACTATGTAAATACAGCTGAGCCATATAATACAGGAACTTTGCCTCTCCTGCACGACTTTTGGTTTCTTTTGGGATAATTCATATTTTATTTGCTTAGTTTTTTGTGTAGTTAATTTGTGAACTTCCATCTCTAAATCTCAAGATGTTTGGATGTATTATGTTTCATCAATTTTCATTTTCCTAAAGTCTCAGAATCTCCTACCATTTCTCTTATGTGTTGATCTTTTATTTACTACATCTTTTTTTTTTTGCTGAGGAAGATTCGCCCTGAGCTAACATCTGCTGCCAATCTTCCTCTTTTTGTATGTGAGCCGCTGCCACAGCATGGCTACTGATAAGTGGTGTAGGTCCGTGCTTGGGAACCAAACCCAGGCTGCTGAAGCAGAGCACGCCAAGCTTAACCACTAGGCCACCAGGGCTGGCCCCTGTTTTTTTTTTTTTTGGTGAGGAAGAGTGGTTCTGGGCTAACATCTGTGCCCATCTTCCTCTACTTTATATGTGGGATGCCTGCCATAGCACGGCTTGATAAGCAGCACATAGGTCCACACCACAATCCAAACCTGCAAACCCCGGGCGGCTGAAGCGTGTGAACTTAACCACTACGCCACTGGGCTGGCCCCTGACTCTGTTTTTTAATTTACTTCCTCATCTTCACGAACAGATTCTCCAAGAGCTTCCTGAGGAGTGTGTGGGAAATCTGTTTTTGACCCTTGTGTCTTTGAAAATAACTTTATTCTACCCTGATACTTTTTGGCTAGGTCTAAAATTCCAGGTTGGGAATAGCTTCCCTTCAGGTTTCTGAAGGCCGTTCCCATTACATGGGCCTGCGTTTAAAGTCTTGTGGGCTCTTCCCTTTGTCTTCCTTGTTCTGGGTTTATTTTTATCCTTTGTGCCCCACACTTAGTGGGCCCTTTCCACTTGGAAACTCACTCCCATTACTCAGGTATCCACTGCCTAGTCGCTTCTGATCTCATCTTTCATGCTTTAATTTCCAGACGTTCTTTTTCATTCCCTGTATACCGTTTCTCAGCCTGGTGGACCAGTTTGGTGGTTGCAGCACTCTCTGTCCCTGAGCTGTGGCTGGGGTGGTTTGAAGCTCTGCCCACATCTGTCTCTTCTGGTGCCTTGCTCTTCAGACGTCTGGCAGTCCTTGGCTTGAGCTTCAAGGTTGAGAGGCAAAAAAGACGACTGGAAACTGAGCACACAGGTGGGTTATACCAGGGCAGTGCTGTTCCAAGTGTGTCTGAGATCTCTTACCTTGCTGCCACTAGGCAAGTATAGGACTTGTGTTTAGAAACAGAACTTGTAGCAACTGGATATTACCAGGGCATTTTTTTTTTTTGGGAGATCAGCCCTAAGCTAACATCTGATGTCAATCCTCCTCTTTTTGCTGAGGAAGATTGGCCCTGGGCTAACATCCATGCCCATCTTCCTCCACTTTATATGGGACGCCACCACAGAATTAACATCCGCTGCCAATCCTCCTCCTTTTTTACC